TAAAAAATAAAAAAATAAAAAATAAAAAAAATAAGAACTGATGACACCCAAAGAGAGAACTGGTAGCCTAGAAGACAGGGATGAAGAAGTGACTCAGAATTCAGCAAAAAGAATGTGAAAGAGAGGCTGGGGATTTAGCTCAGTGGCATAGCACCTGCCTGGCAAGCACGAGGTCATGAGTTCAATTCCTGGTACCGGAAAAAAAAAACAACAAACAAAGAATGTGAAAGAGAGGTTAGACAAAGGCAGGTGAGCAGCACAGTGCAAACACAAAACTCCTGATGGAGTCCACTGGTAGAGAAGAAGCGACATTAAAAGAGAAAAGAGCATGGCGTCTTCCCAAATGGAAAGAGAGCCTCAGATTCACGGACAAACAATCCCCAGGCAGAATAAATCAAAACCTACATTTACAGTTGTCACAATGGAGCACTCTTCACAATGGACAGTGTTCATTCGCAACTGTGAGTTCACACTGAGAACAGTGCTGGCCCCCACTAATGCTTTATAAAAGTTCTGGAAGGAAGCTGGGCCTGGTGGTGCACGCCTGTCATCCCAGTACTAATTAAGGCTGAGGCAGCAGGATCACAAGTTTGGAGTCCAGCCTGGACAGAACCCTGACTCAAAGTAAAAAAAGAGTCAGAGATGTCTTTTTGAGATAGGGTCTCGCTTTGTAGTTCAGGCTGCCCTTGAACTCAGTATGTAACCCAGCCTGGCCTCAAATTCTTGGCAATCCTCCTGCCTCAGCCTCCAGAGTGCTGGGATTATAAGCATGTGCCACCATGCCCAGCTAACACAGGCAATTTAGTTAGTAAGACTCTGTCTCAAAAGATTTCTTTTTAAACAGAAAAAAAGATATACATAACCATGAAACCGAGTTTCAAAACAGGTGAGTAGGACAGTTACAATAGATTATACATTACATATTGTTGTTTTCATAGTAGTTCTTAAGAGTCTCAAGGGTTTTTGAGACAGGGTCTTTGTAGTTCAGGCTGGCCTTGAATTCTTTTTTTTTTTTT